GAAAAGACAAAAATATTTCAAAATTATGACGAAGTGAGTTTCGGTTTTGTCAAAACAGCCCTTCCTCTCATCGTGAATCAAAGTGGTGAATTGAAGCTGTTACTGTTGACACTACTGGTGAAGAGCATGGATACAAAATAAGTCTCGTTTTCTAAATTGCGAAAAGACAACATTTCCAAAATTATGACGAAGTGATGGTCGGTTCTGTCTAAACAGTCTGTCTTCTCATTGCGAATCAGTATGGTAGATTGAAGCTGATACTGTTGACAGTACTGGTGAAGAGCATGGATACTGTTTACTATCTCAATATTTACACGTTTATCAAATGGGTGGATAACGTTTGACCACCTTTGGTGACCAGTTAATGCCATGAGCCCTCTAGACATTACAGAAGACTACCTTCCTGTCCATTTTCCTGCCACGCGATCATATTTATTAAATAAACTTCTGATAGAAGTCTGATTAAATCCTGAGTCAACACTCAATAGGAGTGAGAGTATGGGGTCACGGCATGTATTTGGTGTCCCTAAGGGGGTCAATTTCTGATGTTTTCCTTTTCATGCTGCCATGATGCTGTGGTCTATGTCCTTATCAATTTTATTCCATGACACTAGGCCTTGACAAGACTTTTATTAAAATCGTTAATATTTGTAATAAGAAACATAGTCCATAGCCTTTTCACTTTAACCCTTTTCTCCCGAAAAGTAAATGTATTGGACTGAATTCATAGTACCCGTATTTCACCGGGGATCTTCATCTTTTCAATCGATCCAATCTGATCCAAATTGTCCTCGATGAATTAGTTTTTTTGATGGGACAGATTGGACTGAATTTTTCAACATGCTTGAAAATATGCCGAACACTATTTTGTTACCCAATCATCGGAAGACTGAGGGGATAGGGTAATGCTTTCCAAATTCTCACTATTTTCTCAAAATATGTGGCCGATAATCCAAAACAAGGATCGGATACTATCTGGACCAAACCAATCTACGTTCGGCCTCTTTATACAGTCGGTCTTACAAAGGAGCATAATTATAGGAATTACATACACACAAAAAAAAAAACATTTTCAGATGGGCAATATGTTATTAGTTCATGCCAGATATCCCAATAGAGTACAGACCATATTGACAAGGTTTAGACTTTCTGAAATTTAACCTCAAATGGCGATTAACAGGTTCAGAGCAGCATGTTATTTTAATGTAATTTACTTACGATATTTTCAAACAGTTGTGCCAATCTCCACTGTGTGTCCATTCAAATTATCTAAAGTGCTTTTAAAATGTCATACAAGTGTTTGAAAACAAAGCGCGGTAATGGATATATTATAAGTATTTTGACATAAAACAGTGGGGTGTTCTCTACAGGTTCAGATCCTTTCAGACCAAAAGCTCTAGAGGTTGGCACGTGGCACTTACTTAATGTTAAGTATCAGACGATGACTGAACACTACGTAATATATTTTGAAATGGAGTTGACTTGTGTGATAGCACAACGACTTCGATTATCTTGGAGAATTCAACTTCGTATTTATATGTCAATGTTGTTCATACTCATGGACAGTTAACCCAAAATGAAAAGAACATTTCTCATATTGCACACTACAAGGCGTTGACCATGAACCAATATCAGATTCAGAAATGTAGGGCGTTAAATACCATTTTACTTGCACCTTCTTCGCAGACGCCACTCGCTTTTCAGAATGAACCGTCCCTTTCCAACAAGGCTTGCATTTAAATAAAGTGCTTATAACCTTGGTGATATAAATGGCAAATATTATCTTCATTGCAGGCGGATTTTTCATTCAGGTGTTCAATGTATGCAATAATTCCGACTCGAATCCATCATAAGACTTACTCTTATAGTTCTATGGTACGATTAAAACTGCATCCGTCATGAGTAGAGACAGAAAAATAATACCTGAAAAAACCTTATAACATGTAAAAAGGAAAATGATGTCTATACATAATGTCTATGAAAATACGGGGATAAGAATCTACTGTGTATATTTTATTCTTGATGTTTTAGACACGAGTCGCCTATAATTTTGACTATTTCCAGTAAAAATATATATATCGTAGTGAAAGTGGGAGCCAACATCCTGTGGTTAAGGAAAATAACCTCTATTAAATCTGTATCTCTCTCAGGTCGCTTCGTCGACACAGATGCTATCATAATCCAAGAAATAAACAGGCAATTCGATAAAAAGAGAACTGTAGCCTAGGAACAAGTACATTGTTAGACACCAAGACTGGCGCATTTCTAGTTGATTTTTATACCACAATAGTTAGCAGAAAATCCCACAAAACGATCTTCAATGCGATATTAAAACTTCGATAAAAAAATACATTTAACAATATTTTCAAGGTAAAATGGGGAATATTAATCACATATCAATAAGTCGTTGACTCTGCTCTTCGACATAATTGTGATCCACTAAGGCCGGGAATGCCAGTCTAAAATAGGTTTGTCATATTGGCGTCCCTTTTAAAGTCTGCAAATCGTACAATTTAAGTGGTGACTAATTTAAAATGAAGGAATCTGACCTGAATCAAATGTTTCATTACGCCCTATCTCCCTTCCCCCTTATTCATGATTTTCATGTTAAACTCGTTTTTCTAGAAACTGGTGTACACAGTCAGTCTGTAGCTCTGTGGATATCGGCTTTTGTCTTATCCTGACGACTGTATATATGTCCCAATCACCTCGAGAAGGTCTGTACACTAACTAATATATATGATTATATTTGCAACATATTACTATGAGGGACAATCGCGTCAATGAGAGTTTTTTCTCTGAAATCCAAAAAATGTCATCTAATTGCTTTAATTGATACTGGATAGCAGTCTGTCGAACGAATTATCTCGGCAGTTAGGTTAACTTTAAATTGTATTGCAATAGTGCATATTGAGGCTCTAATAACTGGCTTCGAATGGGCTTCTATTTCACTGAAAGGTTGCAAGCTGGTAGCAGTTTAATTCTTTTCTCTTGATTCGAACTGAAATTATCCGTTTAGGGTAAATGTTGTAATTAGGCACTTAAAACAACATCAGTTAAACTATAAACCACTGAGTAACAAATTTAACAACTGCGCACAGTGTTCCGAACAAATTAAATATATGTATCGGACAGACAAGAACCCAAACCCGATACTTGTCTCCTTAAATCAGAGGCATCAAGAAATGTAACTTCACAATACATGTTCTTACTTCTCCGACTGATATATTTTAGCTAGAAAATGTTGTTTTCCGTTTGAAAAATATAAAATCACATCACTTAGAGAAATGATAATATATATAGTGTAATATAATTGATGTGCAATGTATTTCATATTAGTTAACTTGATTGCTACATCGGCAAATTATTCCTTTTATATTTCGATGTTTATAAGGATGCACAATGATTGATCAAGTAAACTTATTTTAAAGATAAGTTCTATTTCAAAAGTATAGCATTGATAATATTAGATATTGTTTGCTAAAACGGTGAATTGTTAAATTCTTGTAATACCAAAAAGGCGACTTACTGATCAAAAGAAAATGGTAGGCTTTCTTTTATTGAACGTCGCGCAAATGACGATTTATGTTTCACCAAGTATATATCAACTAAAGCAGACAAAAATTATGGCAAAGCTCAAAAACTGTATCTATTTCAATTTTCGCGAATGACCCTTTTTTAATAAAATCAGTCTGTTTGAAGATTTGTTAATTCTGAGTACGAATATTTGAACAAGAGCAAATCCGAGTTGTCATTGGATATTTGTGATTGAAGGGAGACAACAACTTTAAAATGTAACAAAATTAACATTACTCTCCCTTGTTTTATATAAATTTGGTTTTGAAAGGGAGACAACTTCTTTTTCTTCCCTAAATTAACGGAACACAATATTATGGTATGTTGTATCTGTACACAACGTTCCAACAATTTACATTTTCATCATCAGGTGAAAGATATTAACAATTAACTGGGGATCTTTACCTAAATGTGGCTATTAGGGTTATCTTTTACCTGTAGCATTGCACGAGAATTCATTTATCATGAGCGAACTTCATTAATTTCATTTTACAAATGTAACGAGTCTCTTTATATTTGTAGGCAACACTATTTTAACATTGTTGTAACAACATCCTGTCGATGTCTTTGATGTATTTCATCATATCTATATTTAGTTCAGCAGGTGTTCAATATGCATGCTTAGTGAGATGTAAGGTTGTAGACAGGGTATTGGAGAGACAACATGGTTGTAGCACTGCTGTGGTGTTGTTCTCTGGGCCTGTGGCAACCCGGGAGTAGTTCAAATATAGTGAGGTGCCTGCATCAGTGAGAGAGTTAGGAATGAAAAAGGAAAGTGGCCGTGTATGCGCTATGTCTCCTTGTTAGTGTTCCTTGGCTTGCTCTGGGATGTTCAGATCTATCTGTTGTTTTCACGTGATGTATATATATCTAAATCTATATGTATCTAAATAAAGTGTGGGTTTTCTCGTCTGTTTCTGTGTGGAGTATGGAGGCCACCAAAGCCGACTTGCTCACAAAAATATCGTGAAATCGTCAGCAATTGGTTGCGTGACGACAATAATGGCATGCTTTGCTAGGAAAGAAATGTTTCTCTAAGAATAATCATAACATTATTACAATAAGAATCCGTTTGACAGACACATTTGTAAGAATTTGTTAATTAAAGAATTTATCAATAATTCTTGTATACAGTAGAATCGATTTTATCAGATAATCCAACTAGGTTGTACACGGTATTCAATTATTGATCAGTAATATAGAACTTGGATAACAGAGGATCAAATATGGCTAACAGAACCACCAGATCCAGTGTTCAGCATACAAATGCAATAAAACGTATAGCGACACAGAGTAAATAAAATATTTAAAAGTTTATTCAAATGCGGAGCATGTTTACACAAAATTTATAGCAGTTTTTGTAATTTGTGGACTTCTTTCTGTAAACCTTTTATTTTGTGGTTTTGTGAAAATTTTCTGAAAAAATGGAAGTAGGAAGTCTGAAGAGGATTCAAACACAGATCGACATGAACAGAAAATTTCTCTTTGTGGCAAATTATTTAATTAAGACCAAACAAGAATCTTATGTGGGATATGTCGATCGTCGAATAAAGGAAAATGAAGTGAAATTCGACAAGGACGAATGTATATTGAGGGAATCTATCATCAAGCAAAAGAGTCTTATGCAATGTTTACATGAAAAGAAATCAGAAGGAAAATGTAATTTTGGAAAATACAATGGTGCTTCGTTAGACGATCTGGCCAGACGTGTTGAAGCTAAGATTTTAGAAAATAAACCAAGAATTCGTCGACAGCGAACAATGGAGTCATTAATCAAGGCGGGGTTGTGTGATGGCCGAATCATTTCAGAAAAGGAAGCCCAAAAACGCGTCAAACAATTTGTGTCGAAATGATTATAAGGAAGCGATTTTGAAATAGTCTGGAGCCAATGCACTTCTCAAAGGAACAGATTCGCCATTTTAGGGTTTTGATTTGAGTCTTGGATTATTATATGTATATAGTCTTCAGAAATACTAAAAATGTACGAATATCACAAAATTCATTCAAAAATTACTCAAACTTGGGGCTTCATTTAAACATTCAAACGCGAACAATTTTGGACATACGTGGATTTAAAGGTTCAAATTTCGAGGGAGAGTTGTTAACTGTTTACTGATTAGCTAAAAAGAAAGTTTCCAGGACTAAGGTACCATTGATCAAACGCATGGCAAACCTAACCCTTTTAATTGGAAGTTTTTGAATTGTGAATTGTAGATTCATAGATAAACCGGGTTTAAACGGAACGTTGCGGTGAAAACAATTTTGAATCTCGCAACATTTCCCTGAGTGGTTAAAACAAAATAAAGATCACATTTGTTTCTTCAAGCTCTTTTGAAAATATTTACAATAAGTTGAGACTTCGAAGAGAATTGTATCACTTAATCAAGATTCAAGCTTACTAAAACACTATCAGATTCGTAAAGAGGTATTTTAGCTTCAAGCCTTCCGTTGATCTGATACGATCCAATTGTAAGACAGCTTCTCTTACTAATAGTCCAATGCTGTTACTGTGTAATTGTTGTTACCCACAAAGTATAGATGTCCCTGGGAAATTAATGACTAATTAACAATTAGCTTCCAGATTGTGGGTACAAGTACACGAGAAGCATACTCATTCATCTTGGAAAGAGTAGTCTACTCGGCTTCCCTTAGTTGATTATAATAAAGCAAATATTTTGCGCTATATTGAATTGCTTTCAATATTTTTTTAGAAGTTCTGTCACGTAATAATGTCACGGAAACCTTACTGTGGAGACAAAATCAAATTGCAAACCACGACAAACGATACCTTTAATGATCAGACATAAGATTGGACGAACAATTGTCGTATTGATCCTTTTAATATCTGTGACCATGATCAAGTTACAAATGTTTTTATTTTACACTAATCCATAAATAACACAATCAATAGTAAGATGGTTTCAATTACCCCAAACGAAATCGCTTGTCAAAACTATAAATCCTAATTGTATAAACTGATATCTAACGGTTATATAAAAGCACATGCAATGGTGATTTAATTTAGATTCTGATTATTATGGATTGACGTTATTCAGGAGTTCATTGGTAGGACATGAGGCGAGTGATGTTTGTTTTCATCTTCTTTTTCTTGTTTCAGAAAACTTATGGGGGTAAGAACATTTTTTTTCTGGAATTTTGTGCACTTTGGCATTCTACTTCACCATCTGAAATACGCTATACGGAATTGCTATAAAATGATACATATATTCCAGACTGGTTGGAATTGTTTACTTATCAATGTAGTAATCAATTCCCTTCTTGAAAGGAATATAGATGGCTCGTATCTGCTTTACCAGCTTCTGAAAAAAACTCAATGTCAGCTCTCCTTGTAATTTTCAAAATCAAGTTGAATTCCGAGAAGTTTTTATAACCAATGGCGTTTATATCCTAACCTGAAACAGACGAACTTCTACGTCGCGTTCCACTGGAATGAATATATCTCTTTAAAGACTGTTTACCATCATTTTCAGGTACAGTTGTCAAATTCAACACCACTTCAAATCATATGGTAATAACAGACAACAATGTTGATATTCAAAACTCATATTTCATGCGATTTAGTGTACATGCATGCTATGATCAACTGTTACGTCTAGGGAGTGTCGGACACCTAGCTTCAAACTCTTATTTTCTGGAGGTAGTGTTAACGCATAGTTATATAGGTATTAGAGATAATTGTGGGTCTTGTGGAGTATCAAATGTCAAATATCTTAAAACTTTCGATTGTTCAAACAGTTTTAAGTTCTGGATGTCTTGGTCAGAGCCAGGTGTAGTGGAAATCGGTACAGATTATGATATCAATCAGAACTTAGTGACAAGGTACCAATCAAACACTCCATTTAATGTGGAGTTTATCACTCTTCGGTCATATTATAGACCTGGCTATTGGAATGTCATAAAAGGTAAGACTACCCTACCATAAATTCTTGTTTCCACTTCTGTATGCCGAATGTAAGGCTCCTTTTTAATTCCCAAAACCACGGAGTTTATTTCTCAACTAACCCATTATTTACTAAACAGGAGTATGAACATTTACAGTCGCTTTTGGAAACTTCCGGAGTCTATAGAAGAATTGCATAAATCTTCTATTTGATAGATCAAGATTGATCGCATATAGGAAAACAGGAAGCATCCGTGGAAGCGGAATTTCACAAGATAATGTTATATCATTTCAATGACACGAATTCCATCAATAAAAAGCATGACCCATTTATATCTAAAAAAAAATATAAATACATGATCTGCCAAAGCAGACTTGGTTATGTGGACTAGGCAATTTTCTCTCACAATATCTGTTGTTTTTATTTGGCAGATGATCCACCTGACGTTCTCTATCCAAATCCTACAGGAACAACAACCGTGTATGTGAATGAGACCATGCCCAGTGATTCACCAATTCTGAGTGTGGTCGTGACAGACCCCGAAAATGACAGCATCGCGATAGTTTTGCTGACTCATACAGAATTATTTGATATCTATAATGAATCTTTAATTTTGAAAGGGAAGCTAGACTATGAGACAACTACATCATACAATATATCACTGAGGTCAGTTCTAAGAAATCCAGAGGGTAAATTTCTTTAAAAAAAAAATAAACGTTAAGGAACACATGTCGCTGTTTTGAGTCTGAAAATAGTGGGAAAACCATCCACTTTGACAAGGATAAGTTTTGTTCTTTACACAGACTTTTTGGCATTGATCTTTTCCGTACACATTTACATTTTGTTGACGGAGGAAAGATGATTTATTCAAGGTCACCAGACTTTCACACGCCGACCGCGATAAGAAGCAACTGACGTCTTGTATAGATTTCAAAGCTCTTAACAGACTGTGCTACAAACTGCCCTCTATTTCAAGCAAATTATACGTGCTTATGGACGATTATTTAAATCGCTCTAATTTTCGAATATTTGAATTATCAAGCCGGACCTCTTTATGGTTGATTTTTTTCGAACTCTCGTGACGAACTAAATTCATATTGTTGCAGAAAGGCTGAATATTGGTTCTCAACGATGGAAATGTCAGGTTATCGGCATAAGCCTACATCGTTTTTCTTTTACAGCATAACTGATGGTTTAAACAAGGTGCTTGTTTGTCTTAGTCTGATTATAGTAGACGTTATTGATGAACCACCTAGTTTATTCGTCGCAGATAACTTTGAATTAGAAGAAGAACTCGCAATTGGTACAGAACTTAGTGGTCTTTATAATGTTACTGATGCAGATGATGCCGACACATTGGAGTTCGTCTTAGAAGGTAGAAGCTTTGAATCTTGTTAGTGTAAAAGTTGGATCTGTCTGTAGTGATCTTTTGCAGTTCTTTTGTCTGATTGTCATTATTTTGTGGAATTTACTTTATTTCTCACTTGAGGACCTTTGGTGGATTTAATTAGCATTTTAACATATTCTATGAGCAAACACTGAAAAAACTCAACCACATCAGATGCTAAGTATTGTTTTTTAATGAAAAATGGTCTACACGTTGCGACATAACGACTGTTAATCATTGGATCTGAAAGTTCGTGATAAAATAACGGAACTCTTTGCTTGGAAATGGCTAAATAGGCCGATGTTAACTGACAATCGAGGCCAGTACATCTATGGATAATTTTTTTTTCAGGTGAAGACTCTTATAAATTCGATATGCACACCAATACCGGGACCATCGTAGTCAAGGATCGGATAGACAGAGAAGCTTTTAATTCATTTGATCAACTAGGGCCATTAGTTATCAAAGTAGTAGACTCTTCAGGGTTTACTAGCCAAGCTTCATTAAATATAACTGTAATGGATATCAACGACAATCCACCAGTGTGTGTTGTTTCTCCAGAACGTGTCACAGTTTATGAAGATCATTCCTCAGGTAACAACAATACCTAATGTACATCGTTTCGCAAGTACTTTGACTCTGATCTTGTTACTTCATATTTCTCACGAAGTGCAGTACGCTTGCTTTTTAAGTAAGGTCAGGTTTGGTATTAATGATCCAAAGTCCACGATACTATGCCTAGATGACTTTACTGTCCAGAGTGATTGATTATTACGTAACATTGGTTGTAAAGTTCAGAATCATTGCTTCCTTTTTCAGAGACACCAATCGCTAATATGAGTTGTATCGACGAAGACTTACCGAACAATACGCATATTACTTATTCAGCAATTTCTCCAGAGCATTTAATCAACGGTATACGGTTTGAAAATGACATTTTAGTAGCCGACGAAGGTGCTTTTGATCTGGAAATTCTAAAACAAAACAACATCTCTCTGGTTATTCAGATTAACGACACTCAGAATCCAGTTCATAACAATTCGGTATATTTAAACTTGTTGATAGAGGTAAGGGCTCGGATCATGCATGCAGACACTCGTCAAACAATATAACAGTATATATATGGGTCCAGGTCTAGTTACTAACTTATCGTTAGTGTGAAACTCTAGATACTTCCGACAAAATTGAAAGTGAAAATCTTTCTGAAATGGGGGCCGTCAGGTCCAAGCGTAGTATTCTTAGTATTATAATACCAATACTTGATAATCTTTTTATGCTTAAACATGTACAACAAATTCAGCACTCTAACAAGTTTTTGAAGGGTAAAACAAAGGAGGAAAATTAGATATATTTTTGTTTGTAGATCCTCAGTGTGAATGAATATAAACCAACTTTCCTTTCTAATGCAAATGAATCACAGAAACTGATAACTTTGTGGAGTACCGTTCAACCGGGAGAGTTGGTGCACACTGTATCTGCACACGACGATGACTGGGGAACAGATGGCATTATAACATACTCCATAACTAACATATCATTTGGTGAGTTTGCAAATTTCACAGAAAGAGCCTGTACAACTTCTCTATAAATGGATGCTTATTTCTTCTTCTTCGGTTGAATTAGATATGCAGACATGGGATTTACTCTGGTGTTTCATTAGAGATAGTCTATTCGAAGCAACAATTCTTTTTTATTCCCATTCCGAATGATTTGTCAAAGCGGGACAGTGGTTGTATTGGCAATGGTAGGTGCGCAAATGCTGACACAAAACTATGAATCTCCGACGTGTCATCAGTTGTAGCTAAATGAATTTACCTGTTGCAACACGTTCACTTTTTTCTAAATTATAAACTTTACATTATATGCAATCAAATTGCTTGTCATGTTTGAACGATCTATTTATACTTTTGAAATCGCAAATAACAGTAAATATGATACGACTAAATTATCAAATCGATTCTCTATTTAAGTGTTGAATAATGAATTAAATTGATACTATAACAAGAAAGAAATCACATCAATAAATCAAGCTAAAATAGCTGACATCACGGACCAGTTTACTATTTCATTATGTTATAGCATTATATCATGTATCAAAATGTATCACAGAATCACTCAAAAAGTCATAATGTTGACGTATCTAATGATAAACATAATGTTTTATCATCGACAGTTTGACTTTTTTTTTGACTCTTTATCTTTATATCCGAATCTTTACTCGTTTCAGAAAATGACATGACGAACCATAGTATAAAAGATCTGTTAAGTATCAATTCAATCACCGGCGATATCACCGTTAATCGTATCCTGGTCGACTGTACCAACACCACTTTATATCTAACTGTAGTAGCAACAGATGGTGCTCTATTGGCTAGGAGTTCATTTCTGGAGATCTCATTCGTCATAAAGGATGCTTCATTCTACTGGCCTATTCTAGAAAAGGAACTGTTTACCGTGAATGTTTCATGTTACCAACATCTAGATGTTTCAATTCTTCGCATTGCAACATCAAACCCTGAAGTAACAGTACCCGTTGTTTTTTCAATGGAGCAGCACACAGACAAACAATTTTTACTTATCAATGAAACAACTGGTGATGTGATTCTTGTTCATCGACCAGAAACCGTTCCGTTTTGGATCGTCAGTACACTCTGTGTAGCTAATCCACTGGCAACTACCAAGTTTTCCATTGGTTACCTTATCATGGAATTTCCATCATGCACTTCAGGAACCTTTCCGACAAATTCAACTGCCGGTATGGATTCAAGTTTTAATATTATTTTAGCTTTAAGGCAAACAATATTAAAAGTTTTTCCTAGCGATTTGAAATGTTGCGATGGTCATATTTGTGAGCGAGACAGCTTTGGCGGCCTCCTGACTCCACACATAAACCGGGACGGGATTAGAATAAACAAACATTTTATTCAATATGACAATCAACTATCATAGAGTTCAACATGAACCTCGCCAAAAAGAAAAAAAACAGTGAAAGCACCATCACCTTTCTCCTCATGCGCTAACGCTATCACTGATGCAGACAGATCTACCCAGAGAACAATAACACAGCAGTGCTGAAACCAATTTGTCTCTCCAATACCCTGTCTACAACTGATCAGAATATATTAAATAATGTAACCTTACATCTTCCAAAGCACGTGTATTGAACACCTGCTGAAGTAAATATAGATATGATGAAATACATCAAAGACATCGACAGGATGTTGTTACAACAATGTTAAAATAGTGTTGCCGAGAAAATTTAAAGAGCCAGTATGGGGTTACTCTGTTACAACTGTATTGCCCAATCATACGTGAAATGATGCGTATCTCTTTTCAATATAAAAATGATAGATCCAATTTGTAGCAACTAATGAACTTTTTATATGAAGAAGTATTTCATATTTTAAGGTGGTATGAAGCGTCCACTCTGTGACCAGTGAGGAATAAGGGCCTCAAAAAGTTTACATTTAATTAATTGTTTTGCTTTGTGTTCATTGTTTTTGTTAAGGTACAATTCTGGTACAGATGCTAGGAATGAAAATTAATCACAGTTCATTTTAGATTATCTCTATTCCAGATCAAACTAATGACTCGGCTGGTGATACCTTCTGGGAGTTTCTTGATGCGCTGCAGAAAATAATTCTAATTATTCTGTGTGGAGTGGAGACCCTTTTACTGGTCTGCATAGGAATTGTTTACCTCATAAAAGTAAAGAAGTGCAGGTATGAAAAAACAAGAAACATTATCAGCGGGTGTTTTAGAAATTGGGATTGAAAATTAAGTAATTGATTTGCCGACAACAAATCGCACGAAAACAAATGTTCACTGATTTCAATTCTGCTGAAAATCGAGTCAAGGGCAAGGCTATAAGTGTTCACAGTACAAAGCTATTTTCGGTATATTTAACTACAGCAAGGTCAAATTCGCAAACAAATCTATGCTACATATTGTCTATTTTGGAATATTTTTCAGAACGTCAAATGTTCATCCACATCAAGATAATGATCCTCTGCGACCAAGTTCAAGAGGTAAGTGTTCTGCAGTACAGTTATTATAAGTATCACGTTATTAATTGAAAAATTATAAAATTATTGAATCCGACTTACCAACATGACATTTTTATTGATTGACCAATCAGATGACTGGAATCTTCCTACCTTTTTGTGACATAGTCTCCAGAACCTTAATTTTAATTTTTGTTTTCCAGTTAATACTGATAATACTTTGTCAATTGCAAAATCACAAGCAAGAACGATTTCCACCAGGTGTTCTTCCATCGAGTCTTTGGTTTGTATTTTTGTGCTAAACGTTATAAATAGGGTTGTACTATTATGCAGGCCGTAGTTTAGGTCGCTCAAATATATGTTTAAATTAAACGAAAAATTATGTTTTCTGTAATTCTGTTAATATGTTTGACATTGAACCCGTTTTCTCTTTATTTCAGAGTTTAGTATAATGTGGTAGGCTACATTTTACAATCAGTATAGGTTTATGGGCTATTGTGAAATATACTGCAGGGATCACCAACAGATATATCAAAAACTGCGAACGTTTAGTCTGTTTATATCACCAAAGGAATACAAATTTTAATGGTTAAGTTATTACAGCCCGAAAACTCGCTGGAAAACAAAATTCTTACCTCATTTGTGAAAACACGATTTGCTACAATTAACGATTGTTTATTATCGCTCATGGATGAGCCTTATTGAAATTCAACAAAATGAAAAATATTTAAGAGTTATTGCCCATGTTCTGTGAAATTAGTTGTAAACAGTTGTTTAAGAGAAAGTGTATGTCACGCTATCGCTAGCTGTTGTATTCCTTCAAATCTCTCGTAAAATTTACATTTACATGTTTATCGTAAGACATACTGAAATATCTGAGAGAAAATTAATGACTGATGACGTAAGCTTTTACTGTGAATTGTTAACAGCGATATTTTTCCAACAAGCAATGGCTCAACTAGATGAGTAGGGGCTCTTGGCTCCTCCCCTCGGGAATGTCACTTTGCTCTCCTGCTTTTGCTGCCCAGGGTTGTGCTCTGTGGACTCGGTTCAACCAGTCCTTTTGGTATTGTCAACAATATTGATGATTAAGTATACTTTTTAAGAAAATGCGATAGTTTTTAAAATCAGTTGAACATAATTCTGTAAGTGAACCCGCGTAAATATGATTTATTTAATACTTGTCACGTTGATAATACATCACGACGACGTGGACTCGAGTGAACAATAGTCAGTTTGATACAACAAGGGAGACAAAATGACCGATTCTGATAGAGACACTCACCAGGTAAGTCGAGATTTATCGATCATTTTCTGATCAGATCTGGAAAAAACCAACATGAAATATTGGAAAGGTTTTCTTCAAATTGTAGTGTATCCTTAAAGACTAAATCAGCCTTAAGGCTGAATACTCAGAGTGCATTCTATTGTCTGGGTACATCAAGAAGGTTGTTGACTATTCTTATATTGTAAAGAGAATTGGACTATCAGCCTAAAAATAGTACTGTTTGTCTTGGAATATAGTTTCTTGTATGTTGACATACAACACATTTCCATATGAGAAATTTCAACCAAAAGAGTTCAAAAGTTTGACTGAAAAAGTGTCCTCTGCCAACAAATTCTGAAAACATAATGTGTGCCCGTAATTATATTTTGTATCACCGCAAAAACATTCTAATATTTACAGTTCTATTTTTCGGCTGCCATTTCAGTTTTCATGCAAATACCGTTCGAAATAGTACAACGACAGTCGAGTAATGATCTTAAGGTCTCTATAATACATCCTGGAATATTTTCCCGACTAAGTAATATAACGCCATAACATTTAGCTATTATGGGGAAATACCACGGGTATAGTTGGCCTCAAATATTCTGACTAACTCATTCCACGCCCACAGGAATCTGATTACGCCGGAGATACAGGACTGCACACCATTTCTAGACCCTGATATCACCTTACCTACATGGTAATATTTCTCCGACAAAAATAGTTTATCCATACACATATTATCTACAACGCTTTCACTCTGGGTTGTTGAAAACTGTTTTACAGTCATTGAAACATACCTTGAATAAAATGATGTAATAATGTATATTATTTCTGCTCCAGGTTCCAAGAGGAAATAAAGCAACGTTTGCTTTGTGTATGGTTATGGTTGTGGCGTTTTTCTTATTGCAACAACCCAACTATCATTATTTTACCATGAAACATGACATTGGTATTAACATAGAATCACAAGCCATCAAACAGACCGAGACTTTAAAACAGCTGGAGATCGTCGTCACTTTTCCTTATATGTTAGATCCAACATTCAAATTAATTGCACACGGGGCACGCAACGAAACTGATAAAATGCAGAGGATGGAAGAGTACATGACTTGTCTTAAATTTACACTAAATCACCGCTTTATATCCAGAGTTCATCTACTCTACGATCAACCATCTATAGTGAGATATATTATATCACGGTTGGATCATTCAATTCGTAACAAAATCACATTTCAACTAGTGAAAGACGCTGTAATCTCTTTGACCGCCTTTGAATATGTTTTTTCAAACTTGCAAGGACGACTTGTGATGATGATGCAAGCCGACAACTACCCAGGAGACGGATTCAACCTAGTTGACAAAAATCTTCTTAGAGAGAAAAAACTAATGTACGCTCTGACCAGACATGGCCAGTTAGAGAGTGCCTGTGATATGAGAAAAGAAAAATCATCAAACACATGTGCTAAGGGGAAGTACCATGGATCACATGATGGATACATTTTCGTACCAAATGGTAACTTACCAACAAACGCCACTAAGATCATGAACGTTAAATCTTATAAATTTGGCATTGACAACTTAATTATATGGATGTTTAAAAATGTCCTCAATTATAAAGTTTTAAATCCATGTAAAATCATTCACATCTTCCATGTACACTGCAGTGGCGTCAGAAACAGAGACAACATAAAGAGAGTTAGTAAAGGTAGACATGGTCTACAACCGCCAACAGATAAATTGTTTTAATGTATGTTAGTTATCTTCGTTTCTGAAGATACCATTTCATAATGAATTACTAACTCACTTGTGATTGATATACTTCCTCAAGTGAAAAGTTCATTATCTGCCACCAATGTTTTGCCATAATGTTCATCAGGTTATGTTTTGCGGATCGTTAATACTTGGTTTATTTATTAATAGCACAGTTTTGTTGGTATTTTTGTTAGAAACATAACTTAAAAGATAATTTGAAAATATGAGACTCGAATTATTTGGCTTATAATAACCTTGTTTGAATAACAGCATCTGATCTATATGGACGTTTCAAATTGGATATTTCTATGAAAGCCGGGATTACCAACTATGTCATCACTATTCATTGTACTGGGAAATGAAACCTGTGCAATAACCGTATAAAATGGCTGACAAATGTTAAGGTACAAAGCATTACATTCTGTTACCAAAGACACAAAATTAATTGTTTACATTACAATATGCGATATATTTCTAGCACAAATATGATGAAATAGCATTTTAATAACAAATCTATCACTAACAAAAAACAAGATTACAATTCTAATCACATTTAAAAATAGAAGTAATAGTAACTTAGTTTAATAGCTAGGTAACTGTAATATATAAAATAACAAATTTAAATAAACATTGTAATGTGTTTACAAATTATGATACATGGAATGGCTAAGACTAAAGTATAACAAAATATCTCGGGTGAAACACGAAGGGATAAATATTGTGGTGATCATGCAAAATATGTATCATTCAAACGTTGAAACGTTGGTCAACGGCTTGATAGATGCAAAATAATTATATGGGGAAAAATGCAATTATGTGTGCACAAAAATTGACTGATGCATGATCCGGAAAAGTTTACAACTCTAAAATGGCAAATTTAGCTGTGTCCCTTCCATAATAAGTTGCATTGTATTGTTTCTCAATGAAATGGCTTCACTCCCAAGATGTCACGCGATGTCATTTAACTGAATAACTCAAAACGTTCTGATTTAAATGCATATCTAGATGTTCCATTTCGTTGTGTTTCGCTGTTACTTAACTACAGTAAAAATCAGGTGTATACCAACAGACCTTCCACATTTTAGATTGGAATTCGAAACGATCATTATTTTCAAATTTACCAGATAGCGTTGGAGGGGACCCTCAGAAAATACGAACGAAGGGATTCATACAGATCTGCCTTTTCACATAATTATACATCTATATTGATTTTATTGTTTATTAATACCCGAATTCCAACTGCAACATGTAACGAAGTCTGTTTTGACTTTCTTTGTATACAAGATATTCGCTCTGACTGAAACTCGACCCTGTGGCGAATTTTGTAGGTTTACCTTGTGGTATGACAACCTTTTTACCATTAATTGTAATGGTCTTATCTTTCTTGCAATCTATAAAAACGAGAAGTAAAATATTAAAACATCACACAAAATGCACAATTTCACAAAGAAGATGTTGTATGGACAATGATATTTGATATTAGGCGTCATTTGCAATAGTTAGTAAAATATATGTTTAGCATTTGATTGATGAGTGCAGTCAATCCTTTTTATTAAAATAACAAATAATTGTTCAGTAAATTGCTTACCCGGTTCAGTATTTCCTTTTGCTAAAACAGAATCAAATCCTTTTGGTGCAGCTTTTAAAGTATGGTCATCGCGTAAGATGACATTCTGCTTTCCAAGAGCTACCTCGCTCAAAAACATTATACCAGTCTTATTGTTACACGACACTTAAACATTCACAAAAACAAATCTTAATAATTTGGAACCAGATTTCCAACTGTTTCCTGTTGATCTCACCCCCTCCCTCCTCCAAAACCGGTCCACAAATTTGTAGGCTTAACACTATGGCAACTTGGCATATATTGATTGAATACTCGATTTGAGCGCAAGTAAAATTCTGAAAATGTTTTGTCCGAGCCTTTCCGAGATATTGGCAGTTTGTTAGTATTCGGTTTCAGTTTTTACATCATTCAGATTTCTGATATGACTTCATTAGTCCCATAACCCCCCAAAAAACTTGGCACTTTGGTTAAATGCCTTCTTTTCTGGAAATACACACTTATGTCAGACTGAAAATAGGAATGCATGCTATAGATGTTCCCTCCAAAAGGCGATAACCTATTTGAAACCCTGTAAATGGTTGTCATTAAGCTCATTGATATGCGTCCCCTACTACTTGAGTAAATATAATAAAATAGGAAATCTTAAAATTCTTACCATATCCAGCAGATTTACCATTCTCAGAGGCAAAATAAATCCCTTTACCAACTCGACCACCACTGTGAGGCATAATACGAAGTCCAGTTTTCAAAATTGCTGCAACAACAGCAATATTTGTTCCATGCCACAATAATTTTCTGTTCCCTAATTTATCGTGTGCTTTAAATCTATCATCCTGGAGATATAAAACAATACATGTGTGATTTTTTTTTAAATCTAGATGTCAAAGCTTTTTCATTTGACAAATCTAAATGACCAGCAGCCATTCTGACCACCTGGTTCATCAATTCAAGTGAAGTAACACTTTTCGAATACGAATTTGATACGAATTTTCAAGTATAGCGATAACGGCTTTACGATCATTACAGAAAATTAAAATCTAAATGGCATTGGCAATGTATGCTGAGGTTTTTGTAGTGTTATAGAAAGATGCACAACGATTCTCGTACTTTAGCTAACAAATTCTTTTGGACTGCCTTCAAAAACAGCATACAGCCAACGAAACAATATTTATACGATAACTTACGTCTCCTTCACGATCACATTTCCAGACATGTTGTAATTTTACTGAACGATAACCCTGAGTTTCATTTGTGTATGTTTCTATCAGCTACAAAATGAAAATAAAGTATAATATTAGAATCAACAACCATGCTACTTGATACTTCTTTTGTCAAAATGTGTTTCTCATTGGCTTGTACAGAACAAGACAGAAAATAAAAGTTACTTCCCCTGTGTTTCGCTAAAAGAAAACTGATTTTTGTGTATTTTTATATTTCGAATAGTATCAATATAACTGAGTAACTAATACTATATATAATTATTTTGTAATAACTTATATTGCTGAGTGGGATTATAAATTATCTTAAAATAATATTATTACCTTATATTCTTCTGATTTTGGATTCAGTAACTCAAGATTACACTTCAACATTTCATAGTTCACATCTATTGGATTCGGTACTTCACCCTTTACCTAAAATGTACATAAAGTATTAAGAGAAAGTACTAAAGAATGCTTGCGTCAAAATATCGTCAAATTCGAACTCATCCATGATCTCAACATGATAGTCCAGAACATATTTTCCAAGTTTTGTTTTTATTGCTGAAAACCAACATTACTTCGTACAAAATAGGAAATAAATAATACCAAACATACCGTGGCCATTTTCTTATCTTTCTCTTTTGTCATTTCTTGTGCTATCTCAATATCGGCCAAAACCTATATTAATGAAATAATACTAGTTATCATTTAACAGGATAAAATATTGTCAACCAGTAAAACAAAAGACTAATCAATTCTTTCTATAATTTTAGCTGGAAACAGATGAGGTCTCGAGTCGAGGTTATTAACACAAGAGACTTCAAATGTCTTTCAAAATACAGGTTTAGGGTAGTTCATACTGCGTTTTCATTAAGAATTTATAAGAAATAAAGGTAACGTCCTACTTTTCTGTACCATGTGGGCTAATGAAGATGGGCAAGGCCAAGCAGGGTACAGTTTGGAAAGTACAATTAGAAAGGTTTTGCCAGGACAGTGGGATTAACCTGCTCCTTTTCGATTTCCAGCTTTCGAAGGGTCTTTAAAGAACCTAGAAGAAGACCCCATTGGTGTTCAGATTTGACGTATAGTTTTCTTCTGTTAATCGTGTTTTTTTTCCATTTAATCAAGGGTATTACAAAATAAAGAAAGAACACTAACCATGAGCATATCCATTTTTTGACGGAGCGCCTCTGCATTGTCAATTTTAGGGGGTACTCTTCTACCGAAATCATGAGGTATTGCTGTATAAAACCTGGACGAAAGTTCTACCAAATTACCCGATTTCTTTTTATTCAAAACTTCTTCAATTTCGTCCAGAACTTCGAAGCCTTTTGCTATCTGCGTTTTGCTTAATTTTCCTAATGGCATTTTCTTAACATCTACAATAAATTTACAGATTTGTAATGTGAAAATCAACATAAGGACATATTATATTAAGTATGAATTGGGAAGCGGGTATGAATGAATTATTACCGAACAACATTGACAATGTGGACAAAACTTGTATTTCAACTTGCCAAATAACTTGAAGATTAACTTCGAGCGCCTTCCGAACACCCTTCGCCTCTCCTTTTTATAACGCTTAATAAAGAGTGTTGTACAAGTAGCTAACTAATGTTCAAACAAATCCTGATGTAGATATCATTAAATTCTCATTACAATTTCTTGTTTTACCAACCGCACTCTGTAGTTGACTTGATTCACGATCTTATCTAATCTTGTTACATAGAATTAGTGAATAGATACAATATCTTGATCGAAGAAGAAAACAAAGCGGACCTGCAACTGGTGGTTCTTACCTATATCAAACTTCTTCATAGACTCTTTAAACATGTCTAAATCAAATATCAAGGACACAAATTTCTGAGTCACTTTATCTAGTTTTGATTCGGCAATTGTTTTACCACTCAAATCCACCTTAGGAGCCTACAATAGCAAACAAAAAACCCACAATAACTTAGGATAATATCGATTTTTGAAGTCATGGCAGATGAGGCATGTGATTGGAAGGTAAAAGGCTATGTGTGCTATAAGCATTAAAGATCCCCGAACGGACGGAAGTGATGGATATATAGTATAGTGTGCTGAAGGACTTTTATTTACATTTTGAGGAAGGGAGGTCTGGATTCTCCTGAATGTACCGATTTAGTTGGATAAGCTGTCACGTTAACGTGGTTCATACTCTACGTGAATATCTTTACATTTGTTTGAGAGGGTAAGATGCCAGTAAAATTAAGGAAGTAGTTTTCTCACAGCATGGGTATTGGCGGAAAGACGGGTCCGTAGATCGTTCGATCTAGGGGTATTAAACTGTGGGGTCTAGTGGTGGATTTACAATGTCAGAAAAGATATTCAAGTATAGGTCTTCAAATTGAATCAATAAACAGTAACCTACATCAACTTCGTCTTCTTCTTCATCATCACCAGCCATGTCGATCATGGTATATTTGCCCGTTTTTGCTTCAAAACTATCTCGATTAGCCCATTTATTCTTGGTTTTATCTTGAAATTTCTTTTCAAACAACTTAATAGCCTCTGCTTTAGTGGAACACATCATATCTTTGAAATCTCCCATTTCACCCTAAACAAATAAGAGATGCTAATTCATAGGTTGTTTGAAAGGGATATCGGAATTGCATCCTAAGAGACAATGAAAACCAAGATTAACAGATGCAGATTCTTTATCATTTGGTTTTAAAGGTAGGTTTATAATGGCCACTTTTTGCAGACAACTTCTTTCAACCATCAACCTGTTCACGCAGTTCAAACTTCTTTAACAAAGTTCAACACTTTGACTTGAAGAAGGTGGAAACAAATAGTAAATTATTTTGGTGGGAAATATCGTCAAATTCATAAGGAACTTCTAAAACAAAATTTCTGCAACGTACTAAAAGCCTACATTGACAGCTGAATCGTTATCTTGCTGGATAAGTAGATCGGGTGGAGAAAACCAAAAAGTAAAAGGCAGGGTCATCAGTTGCTTCCTTGCCATGAATATTCATTTCCTTGACTTATAACTACATTCTCTTTGACTGGAGCCAGATGGTGAGTGGTATCATCAAAATAAACCGACTGAAAGCTAATTGGTCGTTGGTTAAAAGAGGTTGCAGCATGCAGGTGGTGGAACACGTTTTGACAGGCAGTCGCTTTCAACCTTTTCGGAATGTTGATAGAAGAAGGTTGCTTGTTTAAACCCAGATGAAATATTTATCGGGTGATGATTACTCTCAAATGTTTGGACTTGACGATTTTCAACAAGATCATGGATGTTAAATTTTAATATAACGCACAGATAATCCCCTACATGTTAAACTGTAAACTTTGTACTTACGACACGACCCCATCTATTCCAGGCACAATATTGTCCATTTGTTTCAATAACTTGTATGATATAAAACTTATTATTATTGTGACCAATATTGGTCTGATTCAGCATGCAATTATAATCATCTAATACACGAGCCTAGAATAATTACAAAATATATTGATAATGATGGTGTAGGTTTAGCTTATGAGAATGCTACTGATAAATGCCAGGACCAAACGTTACAATTCTATGAATTATCGACCCATACTGAAAATGGCGAGGTTATTTCGGGAAGATCAATGCAAAGAGGATTGTTCAAGGACCAGCTGGTAAAAAGGGCCCTTATGGACCTTATTTGTTATCATTGTAAATATATTTGTTTCTTGCTTCCTTATGTGTATCGGGGACGCATCGATTTGCACCATTCCAATTTTCAGTCAAACTGCAAAGGTTTTCTCAAGAGTTTTATGTCGTTGCTATAGCAAACGCTGCTGATTATTTCTAAGGCCTTTTGCTAAAATGACGTCGACATCGTCAAGACGGAGATCAACAAATCTTACATTTGTGTTACTAGCTAAATAGCAAGCTTTATCAATAGCGTGAGATTTCTTCTTCCCTTTGTCAGCAGCTTTCAGTTTATTGATGGCATCTTTCATTGTTGATCCAGAGGCTTCCTCTTCTTCCTCTTTAACGACAACTTTGGCTTTCTTGCCACCTGCACCTTTCTTAGCAGCTGCCTTTCTTTTTGGTGGCATCTTGGTTTAAAACTGAATATAAATGGAATTTGGAATTTTACTTGTATAAATAAATTTCCGACAGACTAGTTGAAAATGCATATTCGCTTCAATTTTATAATTTCTAGTGGCACGGTATGTATGTTAGGTGGCTCCAGTATGCTTTGAAAAACGTCTCATATTTAGTTAAATATATACGGGTAAGCCATGTATATTTGTATTGCAAGGTTGCTTTTTTTAAAATGATATACGGCTCCTCGCCTTGAAATTTTGCAGGAATAGTATTGTAAGAGCAAACAGTAAGATTGGCAATAACAATGTGTTTACAAACAACGTACAGTGGATCACATAAGTAGATTTTGCCCTTTTTGATTTCAAATAGATTTATCTCATATGACCTACATTAAAATACGTTCAACATGGTGTATTCATGTCAAACACAATTTCCGAAAGCATGTTCAATGCTTGTCCATCACACACCCTTACAAAATACATGTATGAAATGTTATCATACCTACTGCTAACTATCTTTATATTAAATAGGTTATTTGATCTTACAATGTAGGACATCTCATAGTAAGTAAATGTATACCGGTATGACCACGCCCATTGATTCTTTTGCAACATCCCCTGCACCATTGAGATATTTACTGCAATGACAACCATCACACGATCAAATTCAGTGCATACCCAATCAGTAAAGAATCAAAATACATACCTAAGACCAGAAATCGGACGAAAAATAGAGTGAACGAGTTGATCAAATGGTTTAGTATATTTCGTGTTTGTATAAATAGTAACTAGCGTGTATTATAGCCAGGGTTATCCAGACATCGATATTATAGTATACATATAACATAAGACTAGGTAACCGAATGGTAGTGACGTGTCTCAACTTATTAAAAATATCGACCAATCAATTTACACGGAATAGTATTGAGGCAATCTCGTCAGGTTTCAACTTGTTTCGCCTTCAGGATTGCGAAATCGTTTTACGCTTACAGATAGCTCGACCAAAAAGAAGTCTATAATAGAAACATTTAAATAAATGAAATTAGTTTTCGGTTATATTTTTCTGATTCGTTAATAAAGACGAATAACGGCAAGCAGTGAGCACCTGGAGGAAGTTTAACTTTCTGAAACACCAATTGTCCGATTGTCGCGGGATCTTCACCGTTCATTGCCTGAAGCATAGATCAATACTGCACGTCCCATGTTGTCGAGTCTTCACCACTATCCACCTTCTCTTTAATAGCAGAACAAATCTATCCCAGAAATTTACGATACATTGTTTGAAAAGCCATTGATATCTTTAATGTTCATGTTGCATCATAGCAAAACTGGCCTAAATATTCACACATCACATCTTTCGGCGTTTACTGTAGCAATTTAAACATTTTCATTCAAAATATCTCTTAGAAACCTTTTATCACCAATACAAACACCAGAGAATTTGTTTGTGGCCAGTTTATTCACTGTAGACTAAAATCAGTTTCGATTGCTTCCCTTACATTGCAAAGCTTGGTGATACGGATTAGGCTGTCGACATATTCACAAATATGAATTACCCTAAGACTGAAATGTTACATGGTGATTCTTAAGCAGCAATGACAGGTGCGGTGTAAGGCAGGATATGCTTACTCTCCTGCACAGCTGATACCATTTTTCACGATGGCTACTCAAAATGGATTTGGACCGACTCCAGGAAAACATTTTATGCTAATGATATCCGTGCTATTTTTATAAATCTTTCTCCCTTCCTTTTGGGGCTGTGCATGCCTATCTAATTTTTGGTCTAGATTTGGAATTTGATGTCTGAAATTGTATTTTCTTTCAGATTTTGTGAGATGACGAGAGAATTTCATGCGGAGGGATAATTCTAAAAATAGTCGTTTCGTGTGCAGTGACAAACAAGCGGATGTTGATCAAATGCAGTGGTCTACTTTCAGTTTGGCTTTCACACCGATGTTTAAACCCACAACCATTGGGCCGAGGAAACTAAGCGACGTCATGTAAAAAGCCATCGCTGTGCTACAGAACCTCAAAGAGTATACAGTTGCTTGTAAATCATTGATCAAGAAAAGACTCACAAAAAATAGAGCATTTCATATCATTCAATTTCTAACACAGGAAATGTATATTTATAGGCCGACAATAAATATTATGAACAAAGTGAATATCTCATCATACCACATTACATTTATATATAATTTGCAGGAAAACGAAACGTTATCTAGAATAAAAAAAAGTACACACTGAAAGTACATATAAATGAGTTGTCAAATTAGATCGTGTTGTTGACCATATACAGTTGATCGCTGTAGCTTTATTATCGATGTTATTATGAGCGTTTCTCTAATGTCGAGTCCACGATCCGGTACTTTGAATCATGGGTAGAACTAGAACAACCTTAAGTTAGTTCTAACAGCAAAATATAATTCTATGAAAACAAAATGAACAGAAAAGTCCAGCTACTTATTCAATTTTTGAAAAATAAACACTTAAATCAAGTTTGGAGTTAAAAATATTTACACTAAAGTACAAGTCACATAAAATACAGTCAAAGTAATATTTTATGATTGTTCATATTCAAAGTTAGAATTGTGACTAGATCTAGGCTTAGACCTTGATAAACGATTGTATACCTGTCTTCGTTGGACCGTGCTTACTTCGCATATTACATCTTTCAGTTCAAACTGACTTAAAGTTTCGGCGACTTGATCGATAGTAAATCTATCTGAAGCTTTCGAAAACAGACATCTTCTAAAAAACTCTTGAAGTTGAGCGGGCCAGCTGTCCTGAATCGTTAGCATTTTTTCAGGGTTAAGCTGTTCTATGAACGAAGCTCGAGTTAACGCATTTTGATCTTGAAATGGACAGTTTTTGAAAATTAGGTTCCAAACCACCAGAGCAAGACTGTAGATATCATCGGCTTTTGAGTATTGGTTTCCCCTCAGCACATCGGGACTGAGGAACTGGAGAAAGCCTACTTTCTCCGAATCGTTGTTTTGTAGTGATGGAATTTTTTGAGGTAAACATCCACCAAATAGCTTCACTTCTTCATCATCGGCATCTATCTAAACAGTGTATATATTTTTATTAAAATATTTAGGCTTTAATGTGCAAAGTTAGCAAAACTGTTCACTCTCCTTAATCCGGCATTTTTATATAGCCTCAGTGCATGTCGAATTACACAAGAGTAAACTGTATATTTAAGATATAATAATTTTTAAAGTAAGCCTTTGGCACCAACAGTTACAAACTACATGTATGTAGAAAATAGTCACTCAGTCATACTTGATGCCTTTCTGCAAATGGGTTTGTCAACTTGGTAGCCATTCAGATAGTCCACAAAGCCAAATTGTTTACAGAGCTACTTTGGTCATTAGATAAAAATAGTGTTCTTACCATTATTGATTGAGGTGTCAGTTCCATATGAACCAAATTAATCTTATGTAGAACAGCTAAACCACTGACTAGTCCATTTATAATGTTTATAGTGAGACCTTTAATATCTGGTAAATGAGGTTGCGCCAGATATCGATGTATTGGTCGCAAATTGCCAGCAAATATATACACTGCCTTTCTGTCTCGTCTGACTGTTCCCAGGAATGGTGCAATATTAATATCTGAGAGGCTTCTGAAAAATATAAGCAGAAAGTACGATTGAGTAACAGTGTGGTCAGTAGATACTAATTATATATGCTTCCTCTGGACGATTTAAATACGGCATGTTCCAAAGAGGCACATTAATTGCCTTTTTTTTTTTTAGCTTATTCTACAAACATGATAGCCATATCAATTTTCACCAATTTCTACAAGTTATACGTTTTTCTTAATCCTACCTTAATCTTGCATTTTCTTTGAAAACTGTTTCTTCATCGAGATTGAAATTTGATGTTCGGCTCATAATGCTAGTAGGTCGTTCTATATCAGGAAGGATAACGGTTCCCAATTGGCCACAAAAACTAGTACAATTAACAGAATGGGAAGTACTGGGATTACTTAAAGATTTTGCTAAATTCTGTCTTGATGATTTTGATAATTTATCCAAGGTATCTGTTTCAGGTAATTTTAGCGATTCTTTTCTAAAATCGCGAACATAGAGACACTCGTATCCTCTCGTGAGTTCACGAACACTGTCTAGTTTTTTAATTGTTTCCGTTAATGCGTCTTTATTTTCACATGTCATTTGACGACTTAATGTAATTTCTTCCATCAGTTTTTGGTTAACAGCAACGAATTTAGGTATACTTTGTTTGATGTTTTCAACATAGTCATGAAGTGTTTCTGTGTATCGAGCACACAATTTTTGAAGAAGTTTTTCATCCTTTAAAAGAACGTCTACAATAATAACGGCTTTATCTTTGACGAACTCTTTGGGGTCACTTGTGTAAGCTGATATTCTGCGACCACTACGGCCAAGGTTCATAGTTGATAAAATGGCTCTAGCAATCAGCACTTTAGGCATCAAGATAACACGAGACTCAGGAGTACCTTGTGCAATATCTTCGATTTTACTTTTGAGCTTTTTACGGCGCGCTTTTTTAACAGACGTTAACACTTCGACAATGTCATCTTCTGGAAGCGTCGAGCCTGATGAATACGAAGATAATGAATTTCCATCCGTCATCTCGTTATTAATATCTGCCATTTCGCCTTTAAGTACTTCGAATTTTGAATTAATTTTGTTTTCCAATGTTGATATCATTCTTTCATCGTATTTGTTGGCTTTAATCCAAAAATCAATCTGATCCACCAGTTTTCGAAGTGCTAGTGATTCGTAGATATTAGGTCCACTGGATTGATCGGATTTGATTATCGCCGATCGTCTACTTTGAGATAATTGTGTGTTGGTGGAGTCGTCCATGTTTATGCTCCATTGTCGTATAGCAGTCCGTATTTCTCTCGAATTTAAATACGTTTTTATATTCCTTATCAAATTTTCACTTTCAGTCTCAATACTAAGATTCAAACTACACACTGTTTCATTTGCATTGTCATTCAAGTTTTGAATTTTAGCAGTAGCTTCGTGAAACTTTTGATTAAGTTCCTCGTTTGATTTATTCATTTGACTGACCATGCTGATGATATGATTTGTTGTCTGGTAAAGGATTGTTTTAAGCCAACTGAAATAACAATAAATATCACATAATGATCGTTTAATTCAAAAAAGTCAAAATTTTTTGAAACTCACATGATAGACTGCTGGTTTCATGTTTATGATTTCAAAATTAAAGAATAAATTCATTTAACCAAACCCATTTGGCAGATAACTTTCCTGAGCAAAATTTTTATTTTATTTTTTTTAATAGATACAGCTTTATGGAACAACAATCACTGGTTAAAGTCAATATATCGTACTCACAATTGCTAATTGCCATTCAATGACTTTAATTAATTTTTAATTAACGAGTACCAAATGTTAAGCTTACAGGTAATGCTGCTTGACTCGCGTATCCAGAGCAGTCCGGATGATTGTAAGTAACTTCTTGAGAAGATCAGCAAAATCTTGAGTGATGTAGTCTCTGTCAATATTTGCGTGTTTGGCAGCATCTTCAGTCGAAAAAAACTCGACCTGAGACTGTTTGAGACCTGGCCAAACGTCCATGAGTTTTGAAATTGCATTTGCTTTAACAGTCTCTTTCTGGTCGTCTCTCACTATATCCCATCGGTTACAAATAAACATAGATCCACTATTATTCATTGCATCGCCCATTTTTGTTATTGAATTTCTGGTTCGAAGTTTTTGTATTTCCCGGAGAAAATCGAGAAGCTGAATAAAAGACAAAAAATTTAAAATGATTTAAAAATATGATATATTTGAACATAATTTGAATGAACATGAGATTTAAGGTCTTAAACTTGGTCAACAAGTGTATATATTCAGCTTACCAGGTGTCAACCCTGAAGAAAATAATCTCTCTATATATGACAATATTTTACTAAGGTTAATGAATCATTACTAAGTTTTAAGGATATATTAGATTGTAGAAAGATTTTGTTGTATAGTTATGACACCAGGTAAGTCTACTCAAGAACAAAGACTCATTTTGGCCAAGTTTACAATTTTTGGTCATCTTAAGATGTAATATACCTTCAAACAAAATTATAATTCATTCTTAGTGTTTTCATGTTTCGCAAACCAAGTTCCGACAGAAGGATCTTAAACAACCACATACCCTGTCTTCCTCTACTCCACCACCAGTATCTGTTCTGATTAGATATATAAAACCTGTTATCGAGGACGAAGATATAAATCGAACAACTTTGTCATTTAACGTGTTATTTTCCCCAAAACCTGGAGTGTCGACTATAGTGATACCAGTCTGAAAGATAAATAACGTCAGAATGACTTTAACACTGATATAAATGAAGTCCTAGATAGAATGAATGACAATGTAAGTGAAAAAGCACTTGGTTTTCTCTAAATCAAAGGGATTTTCCTCTTGAGGCACTCAAATAACAGGAATTCTCCCCATGGAATTCTCGAAGTCACATAGGAATTCTCCTCTTGGAGTTCCTTAATCACATAGAAAGGCTCCTCTTGGAGTTCCTTAATCACATAGAAAGGCTCCTTTTGGAGTTCCTTAATAACATAGGAATTCTCCCCTTTGAGATCTTAATTCACATAGGAATTCTCCTCATGGGGTTTATGTTATAACAACTTACTAATTATATTGAAATTCTCCTCATGGAGTTCTCTAAGTCAAATAGAAATTCTCCTCTTGGAGTTGTCTAATCACATAGAAATTCTTTGGTAACCTGGTTACATGAATTTCTAATTGCTAACTATACATATACATTTTCGGAAATACTGTGACAAAACAAAACCAACCTGTAATATGACTGCTGGCAGATAAATTTCTATTTCTTTTATTCTCGATTCTGTGTCACGATTCTGGTGATTTGTTTCAAATATTTTTTCGTTCAGAGATATTTTAGCAAGTTCAGATGTTTCGTACTGAAATTCTTTTGTCGTTCCGTCATTGTATAGAATCTTGGATCCATATGACTTGGAGTACTTTAGTTTGCAAATTATAAACGTGCAACTAAGAGCATGTGTGGGTAAAATGTCCATGCCTAGCACAAGATTTAATAAACTACTTTTACCCGAACTAGTTTCTCCTACAATAATAAAAATAACACTAAGGGTGAAATATTTAAGTCAATATTGAATAATTGTCCTATATCCTTTGTGAACGATACTTTAATTGAATACAATCAGTTTTACGTGCGATATAAATGACTTAACACAGGACAAATCCAACAAAAAAAAATAAAAATAAATAATAATAATGTTCAAATCAAAAACCTTTGACTTGTCTGATTTCATAAAAAAAAAACTTCATGTGTATTACACCTTGTAGTGGAATCCGAAATTTCAACTTGTATAATCCAAGATATCGAAGTGTTGAAACCGAATTTTCAACTTGTAGAATCCGAAATTTCGACTTGTAGAATCCAAAATTTCGACTTGTGGAATCCAAAATATCGAGTTTGTTCATAAAATTATGTTCTTTTTTTCAAGTGTGCCTAAAAACCTTCCTTGTTTTCGGCTCATTAACTTTAAAAGCTAATTTGGTTGAGAGTGTTCTTAATAAAAAAAAATGCTGAATATTGAAAGCATTAAACATGCTTGTGAATTCAACACAATACAGCAGGAAGTTCACACAGTAAACTGTATGTAATATTATATTGAAAGACGATATGTCCTTAATATTAGGCAATATTAAGTTTGATATAGACACGCCATATATTTTTTGAATAATCAGTTATAAAGTATGTTGAAATTGACATTTCAAACATTTCAAAATTTGTATATAAAAAAAAACAAGCAAACTTGATTGTTTTCGATCAAAACTCAATATGAAGCAATAATCAACAAAATTTAAAAGAAACTTTTTTGAAATGCTTTCATGTAATTTCTTCATTTGTAAATGATTCAAAAACCAACTGAAGCTAAATTGTGAGTAGATTTGAAAACTATTTCGATGAACATTAAATATTCAATATTCATAAGAACAAGTAAGTATTTTTAACAATTAACATTGACATTTTTAAATATTTTATTTCCGTCTTCATTAGTTCAAACAAGTACAGAAAAGCAGGACATAAAAATCAAGATGATATTCTTGATGTCCTCGCCCCATTGTAAAAGTTTTATCTACTAACTTGGCTCGGATGATTGCAAACATGTCTACCTTACTGTCAACATTCACTTTAAAAAAAACAGTGATATTTTGAATCGAAAATCAACCAAAACTCGTATTCTAAAAAAAGTTAAACACTTACCAGCAAATACTAAACAACATTCTCGACTCTCCAGATCTTTTATATGTTGATCAAAATCTTCATTTAAATCGTCTGAAATATTTCCAGCTTTAAGTATAGAGGCAACAGGTTTCAAACTTGAACCCAGACTTGTTCTTACTTTCTTTAATAATTCTATAATGGCTTTCGTTTTGTCCCCGTATTCCTGATTAATACTTTTAAATTGCTCCTGATTCTAAAACAAAAAGAAATCAAATTTCATATCCAGAAACAAAGTTCAGCATAATTCTTTTTGTCGCAACCCTCATATGATACGATTTACAACATTTAATTTACAATAATTGATTCATATTTAAATAGAGTTAGCATTAACTTACAAATTTTGTGGATAAAAAAGATTTAATTGTCATGTACTTACAATAATTGATTCATATTTAAATAGAGTTAGCATTAACTTACAAATTTTGTGGATAAAAAAGGTTTAATTGTCATGTACTTACAATAATTGATTCATATTTAAATAGAGTTAGCATTAACTTACAAATTTTGTGGATAAAAAAGATTTAATTGGCATGTACTTACAATAATTGATTCATATTTAAATAGAGTTAGCATTAACTTACAAATTTTGTGGATAAAAAAGATTTAATTGGCATGTACTTACAATAATTGATTCATATTTAAATAGAGTTAGCATTAACTTACAAATTTTGTGGATAAAAAAGATTTAATTGTCGTGTACTTACAATAATTGATTCATATTTAAATAGAGTTAGCATTAACTTACAAATTTTGTGGAAAAAAAGATTTAATTGTCGTGTACTTACAATAATTGATTCAAATCAGAAATGAAGTTTGCATTAACTTACAAATTTGAAAAACTGTTTATTTTCTTCTTTACGTTTATGAAGTTCCAGGCGCTCTCTACATGATTCCACTGTTTTTATGCCTTGTAAATCGACTCCCCATTCATCCCCGAGATCCAACAGTTCTAACAAATCTAGTTCGTCAAAATTATGATCTATAGTACACTCGCCCATCGTCATTCAATTAGTAGATATCTGAAAATAGAAACTGTTCTATTTTATTTCACTTTAGATTTGTGTAGTAAATATTTAATCTCCCTAGAAATTGGTCAAGTCAAGAGTCAGCCGTAGTCAGGTGCTTATTTCTTATTCATTCTATTCAATTTCATGTGGGCGTTAATATAATGTGTTTGATTGTATCAAAAATAGGAGCCGCGGTGGCTCGCTCAGTGAGTTAGACGCTTGCTCACTAACCTAAAGGTCCAGGGTTCAATCCCGGCATAGTTCGAGATAATACCTTTGTTTCAACCCGGTGTCCCCCCTATCAGTGATGCAGGTAAGAGGGGCTGACATGGGACAATAAACCGAGGCCCCGTGTGCTACAGGCTGTGCACCCTGCATGGCGTTGCCCGTCTTCATGAGCGCACATGGTGCAGAAAAGTAGGACATAAAACTCCATTCATTTCATTTTTTGTATCAAAAATAGCATATACGAACCTAGAGAAGTAATCGCATTTCAAAATGATAATGTATCCATTACTTTAATCAACAAATGTCAATATCATCACAGTTTTTGTATACGCATGATCGGAAACTTACACTAATTTCAGCCGCTGCTGAAGTAATACGTCTCCTCCAGTAACTAATCATTTGAATATACTATAAAGTTATGAATACTAAACAAACAGATTCAATATATTACCTAGCACAACCGCGACCCACATTAAAATAACTGCTTGGGAAATGGTTAATTATGTACATAAAACCTTCTATATGCTACAAATAACGAAGCTGAATAGAGAGCAAACTTATTTTCGTGACTTATTAAATTCATAGATTTTCAATAAATTGTATACCTTATTCATAAGAGTCGAATTTCATTTATTCTTTGCAATATTTTTTGAAAACCCTTCACAAATCAAGTTTATATATTTTCATAATGGGGGTTAGTTAGGGTGACTCTAACGTGAAACTCTGAGTTACAACTTGGGGTTTTTTTTTAGGTTCTGTTTTAATATTGCTATTTTCATAATGATATTATAATAATATTACCGTGGGCTTATAAAAACTTCCCTGCATAGATCAACTTGACATCCGTATTTAGGTGCAGTATTTAAAACGAACCCGTTGCAAACTTAAATGAGCCGTCCTTTCTGTAGCAAAAAGGGTGCAAAAATGTAAGAGCGCAGAATGGCCGCAATGATTTTAAGTTTGTAATTTTAAAGGGATTTTTTTCTAGCTTTCCTCATGTTTGACAGTGACCTAGTGCCGTAAGTCGCCGTAAGGATGCAAATGGTCGCAGTCCGATGTGACGGGGCTATTGAGTTATGGAGTTATAAAAGGGAATTACCCAGAGAGCGCTTTAAAGGAATAGCAAGTTTTGAGTATTTGAGATCACTGTTGATTACTTGAAAGCATTTAATAGGTTTTTTTTTTATTCCATGGGTACAAAATTGAAAAACTATCATCCGTAAAGGTTTTTGAAACATTGATCGTATCTTCAGGCTTTCTACTCATTTACGCGTATGACCTACTCTCTGTTTTAAACTGATATACATGTAATAGAATATATCATTTTAAATTATGTGTAATAATATATTTTAAGTGACAATGGTAAACACTACTATGTAGAAAGCTGTGTATCAAATATCATGATTAACATGGTTTATTAAAGGGACTGTCATGTGTATCGGGGACAATGAAAGCATCAATTAGTTCAAGAGGAATTGCAGGAACCACAGACGTCTGAATGGAATTTGGAATGGTGTAAATTGATGCTATCATTCGGCACGGATCACCTTTATTCATTAGACAAAGCAAGGCTTGTAATGAATATACAAACTAAAAATGTAAACAATCCAGCAAAACTTGTAGTGTAGAGAGAGCACGAGATGGAGTCCATCAAATACGTCATTTTCAAGCTGAAAATCTTATGTTGTGTCCATTTGTTCATTTCACTTCGTTTTTTAGTTAAAACTATTACGTAAGACTAGGTAAACTTTTTAACTTTGTTATATTTTTTGGTAGGTGTTAAAAACTAGCAAATTAAATCAATAATTAGAGAAAAAAAATGTCTCCTACTCATTCTGAAGGTTTCAACTAAAGATTTCGAGTCATTCTGAGGCCAATCACCAAAACTAGGTCAACTTGATTAATAGACAATTAGTATTCTTCCGTATTTAATTAACCCTTTTAAAACAAATTCAGTTGATCAAGTAGATACACAGATATAAATATAATATTTTAGAAATATTTATATTTAATACAGCAAAACATTCTTGAAAACATTTACTACTTCCATAGCCATTATCATAATTGTTTAAAGGGCAACTTTTCGAATTATCTATTACTATGTAAATGATGCTTTTAGATAAATCCTGATAAATATGATTAATATGAATTTGATAACTGTTATGTATTGTATTGAGACGACTATCAATCGGCCTGGGTTGAACTTGTAGTACAACTAGCCGTTCAGGCGAGGAATATGACCCTAAGCAATGGATATGCCTAGATTTGGTTGTATGTTATATCAGGGCGTATCTACAACTTTTCTGGACGATTCATCACAGCTACGATTTTAGCGAAATATTTTCAGCAGCATTACTATCTTGTTTTCTCGACTTCAATAAAACAAGGCCTGCAAGTTTAAGAACGTAGAACTAGAACGCGAAGATTTAAAGAAATGTCGACTTGGTATTTGCTATGCTTTATCTTTATGGAATATATCAGAGTAGCATTATAATAGTCAGTAGAATCAAATATGATTTCGTCATTTTCAATTATTTCTAAAATCATCATTCATGCCTAAGTTAAACGAAATATTTGCACGTGCCAAGTGTAAAATATACGGTCAATAATAAAGTTAAAGAACTAATTAAACTTAACATACCTGTTTATATGTAAATTTTTGACTAAATCATATCTCCCCAATGGTACATCAATATACTAAACCTTCATTAGGTTGATGAGATATTTAATACAATTATCGCGAAGTCTGGTTTTATAAACGAAAACAAAATTGTTGTGAGCTTGGGACATGGGTATGACGTTTAAATAGATATTGTTCAGCTTGCATGCATATGCCAGCCAGGCATGAAAAGATAAATTATAATGAATTTGTTATCTCGATTTACAAAGACACAATCCCTAAATATCAAATGACGATAGTTTACAAAAAGAAAAACGTCGGATTGCGCCACATTTACACACAATAGTTCAAGTCTTTTTTCGGCGATTTTCTGATGCAAATCTATATTTTTTTTAATTTCTTTACAGATGACAAAACATAATTAAAGTGGTAGGCGATGAACATCAAAGTGTGTTCAGTTGGATAAGATTGTAATACAGAAGGCGTTTGAAGCGAGTTACCTTATATCACGCGCATACCAATTTCTTTTTCAAATTACTTCGTGATATCATCTATGCATTTCATGTCAAGAGACTTTAACTATTTATTATGGGATCATAATATACGTAATTATTTCCTAGAATATGCAAGAATTAAAAAATCACATTGTTAGTCATGTTTTCGATCCGGTTAGCATGAACCGTCTCGCCATTGACACCCATTACACTATCATGTGCAATATTTTTATATTAAAATCTATTGAAGTAATTGCCCTGACCTCGGGGACTTCAAATATCAATATAGATTAGGTGTGTAACGGCATATACCAAATGTCATTATAAAGGGATGGTAAGCAAAATTTTTATTTTTATACGCCCACATAGAAATGTTGACGTATATTCCCGTCGTCCCTGTCCGTCAACATTTCTTGTGAACACAATAGAGACAACAGTTTTTATCTGATTTTAATTGAAATTTGTTGTGTTCATATACATGTTTATATTGATATCTTGGTCACGTTCAAATTTGACGATTTTCCTATAATTGGTTTTTGAGTTTTTGGCATTGACTAAGGACAAACGCGTCAAAATTCGTTCATCAGCACAATAGTTTCTATCTGATTTTACCTCCTGTTTATTTATTTTGATGAATGGTCAAGTTTGAATTTTTGACAAATTCTCGCTTAACTGTTTTGAGTTATTGCCCTTGACTTATAAAATATCTTAAAACATTTAAGTCATAGCAGTGTGAATTTGGTGTTTTGGGGTTATTGATATCGATTTTAATAAATGTTGTGGAAAATTTCAGCATACATATATGTGAATTATTTCAAACTACAATTGCATTATGAAGATTTTGAAAATGTGAACATTATTATTTTAGACACCAAAGACTGTATTATCATTTCTGCCAGCTACAAGCTATTTTCAAAAATATCATTGAAAATATTCTAAAATATAATTGTACTAGAACTGTACAAAATCGGATATTTCCTTCAAATATACCCGAAATTTCACGTTTTATTTATTTCGTTCACAAGCTTATCTTGAAAAAATCCAAAAATTGTACGTCTTGTTGATATAGTCTCTTTACATACAGACATCTTTTGCCAACGATGTGGGACTGGTTGATTGAGGTTAATGCGATATTAACCTTTTTTCAAAATTGAGACTTGAAAAATGCGGATGGTCTGTTTAACTTTCAAAATTGGATCATTTTGTATACAGATTTCGACAACAAGTCACATAAATTATTAGTTTACCTAAACATTTCCCTTTTCTAAAACCAAGGTAAGATTGACCTCCATGCCATGAAGTTCCACAACACCAATAAAAAACACAGCGACTTTAAAAGGCGTGCGTAAATCCTTTAAAAATGTAAAAATTAACGGCAACATATTTGTGGTCTTCAGTAATTGGAGCACGTAAATTTCCCAAATTATTTTAAAAATCATACTGCACTTTTTACTTTGTAGACTGTCAACAAATTCAAAGTTAGGTAGTGCAACGGGTATATTAGAAAACAACTTTCTTATGTCCGTGGTAAATGCTTATACAGAGTATTATAGCACTCAAAACAAAAATCTAGCTCATTAATTATGATACGAAAAAGGCAAAAGCCTCTCGTTGTTAGAGACTGCTATCGGTTGTGCTTCGAAGGCTTG